TTGAGTGGCAGAGCATTATGTCAGAGGGATAATATCTTCATCACTTCTGCTCATGGAATGTGTTCGGAGCTTCCCTAGTTGGAACATTTTCAAAAATGAAAAACTCGAGGGTGGTCTTGCCGTGTGTGTGTGTCTCTGTGTGTGTGTGTAAAATGAACACATCTGTGTATATTGTTAATCGAAAAAAAACAGTTTGCAAAACAATATATGCAACTTGAACTGACCCGTGATTTTTTAAAACAGACATCTCTCTCCCTCCCTCTCTCTCACACACACAAACATACACACACACATCTTGTTGAAGTCAGTGTATTAACAACAGTGTCTGGGTATAAAAGTGAAATTACCAGGTAGTGTTCAGTTTCTTCTTCGCACTGTCTGTGTCCCCTAGTGTTTCTTCAGTCAATATTGTTCTTGTAATGAAAAGTGAAATCTGTAAGAGGACAAGTCTCAGAGTTTCAGGGAACAGAGCCGTAAAACGTTCAGTTTTGAAACCCGTCAGACCTGTATTTGGAATAGAAGCACCAGTAGCTGTTGAAAGATGCTGCTTCAAAGCAGACCCCACAGGCACAGCGCAGCCTTCCCTCCACTCACCATCCCAGGTGCCTGGACTGGTGATGCACTTCCTATATAGAGGTCACTTTTGGAATCATTGATTAAAAGTCTCACTTTTTTGGCAGTATCTTGAGTCCCCAGCCCGCAGTACCATGACTGTAGCTTTGATTCAGGCCCCCATCATTGCTCATCAATCTTGCAGTCTCCGCCGTCTCCCCCAAGCACCCCCCTGAATGCACATGTATGTGCTCACTCCTCAGACGGACCCTTCACTAGATTGCCAGAGCCACTGGGGTGGGAATGTGAGCCCCTTAGCCTGACAGGCGGTTCTCCCCCACTCCCCTCCTCCCCCTGGGCATCACTGCCGCGCTGGTCTCCTCTTACCCCCCAGGTGCATTCACCTGCTCCTCCTCACTGTCCCCACCCCCCTGCCTTGTTCATACTCCCCCTCCTCTGTGGGCCACACCCCGGTCAGGCAGCACACATTCTAGGTCCGGGCCTCGGTCTGCTTCCCGTAGCTGCTTGATGGCACAGAGTGCTTTCCGTATGTGCTTGGAATGTTGCAGAGGCTTTACTATTTAGCTAAATAAATAAGTAAACAGGTATTTCAAATAGGCTTCTAAAATTTCTCGTCAGTTACAAAAGTAACTGGGAGAAAATCAAATGCCCTGAGAAGACATGAAAGTAGAAGTGAATCTTGGGCATCCTGGCTCTCTGTTTCTAACCCTTACTCTTCTCAGAAGGAGATGTTCTTCCGTGTGCTAGGGCTTCTGGCTGCTTCCTGAGACCGTGCCGCATGGTGGAAGCAGGAGGAGGAGTGGGACTTTGGTCCGCTCAGACCTGGGGTCTGCTCCAGGCTCTGCCATCTCCTTACTGGGAGATTTTAGGGACATTAGTTAGCCTCCCTGCGCCTCTGCCTCTTCATCTCACTTAGGATAAGAAACTAAAATGACTTCCCTCACAGTTGCTAGTACATCAGATGGTGTATGTAAGGCAACTGGAATGCTTTCATTCATTTCATAAAACATTTATTGAGCGCCTGCTGTATGATGCCAGGCCCATTTTAGTGAACAGAAAAGTGTGTGCCCTTAGCGGGAAGAAAGAGGTGAAGGAAATAAGAGTAATAAGATCCAGGAAGACCAACAGAGCCGGTGTAAAAGGGATGGAAAGTCGCTGGTCAGGCCATCTCTGAGGAGGTGCTGATTTTGAGAGACCTGAAGAGAGGGAGGGAGAGAGCCTGCAGCTGTAGGAAGGGCGGCAGGGGTGTGAACCGCGGGAGGGAGGGAGGCCTGGGCTCGTCACCGCCCAGCAGGGGGAGCTGCAGGTCCAGTGGCAGGAGCTGGTCCGGAGGAGCCTGGAAGCAGTTCTTGGAGTCTTCGTACAGACTGGGGTTTTTATCCTGAGCCTGGTAGGAATCATCAGCAGTAAGGACTCAGTAAATACATGCTTTCATTGCTTTTTTTCTTTCCTTTACTTAAACAATATGAAAGCATTTCCTCAACTGTACACAGAGATGTAGCCCAGGGCAAGTCACTCAGTCTTACTTTGATTTTAGTCTGCCAAAATGCCAGGAAGCTTATACCTTTTTTAATCAATATACCTATAAATTAGTACTAAATATTGAGAAAGTGCTTTGAAATTTTGGTAAGTTATACAAATCTGGGTTTCTAGTATTACTCCAGTGATTCCTGAGCCTTCTGGGGCCTTGGTCTGAGGACTTTGGTTGAGCATACTGCTCTATGTTCTGGCATTTGTGGGCTTGGTACTGGCCACGTTGGCTGCTTCAGCAGTCAGAAATTGTGTTCTTTGCTCCTCAGATTCACACTTGGCGTGATAGGTCATTTGCCAGGTGTCTCACTGGCATTTGGGGGAAGAACACTGTATGTAGGCAAGATGCACCTGTATCAAATGCAGTGCGTGTTGATGTGGCAAATGTCAGACCAGTAGGCTTGACAAAATACCAAGGGAATAAGTATTCTATGTCATCATGATTGGAGTTGTGGGCCAACTGTTTAGGACCCTTATCATCAGAAGCTTTCTGGTAATGTATACTCTGAGGTAGTCCATGCTTAGAAATGAGAGGTGAATGGTGCTGTTTAACTTTTCTGAATACAGTTAATACTAAGTATTTTTTTTCTTTCTGAAAATGTTGTATCTGTTCCTTGATTGTATCTGTTGGTGAGGTTATTCAGAAACGCTGGAGTAACGTGGATTTGGAGAGAAAAAATCATCTAGTTAATCTTCTGCTACATTCAAACGTGAACAGTGTCTAAAAAATTCTTAAGTTTTGGGGCACCTGGGTGGCTCAGTCGGTTAAGCGTCTGCCTTCGGCTCAGGTCATGATCCCAGGGTCCTGGGATCGAGCCCCCGCATCTGGCTCCCAGCTCAGCGGAGAGCCTGCTTCTCCCTCTCCCTCTCCCTCTCCCTCTGCTGCTCCCCCTGCTTGTGCTCTCTCTGTGTCATATAAATAAATTTTAAAAAAGAATTCTTAAGTTTTTCCAAGAGATTCCTGGACTTAGGGTAAGAAACCTGAAACCTCTTATTATGTGTAATCATCTGAAGCGCGGGAAGTTCTTCCTTCTGTCTGGCTCAGATCTTCTACGATTTGAGCGCATTTCTTCTTCATCTGTGCAGATGGAAAACAGCTGTCCCGCTTTCCCCCATAACCACCTTTCATGTTCTCAAGGATGGTTATTAAATCACTCCCTAGTCTTCTTTCCTCGGAACTAAATAGTGCCTTCAGCCGGTCTTCAAAGTGCCCATTTTCCACTCCTTTAATCATCTCTTGATCTTTCCTAAGCTTTTCTCCATTCTTCTTTAAATGTGGATGCCGAACTGGAATACAGTATTCTGTGGAGAGTCTCACAGTGAACTGGGATCTGGGATTGCTACCTGTTCAGGCTGTCCGAGGTGATTGTCTTTCGTATGGTAATGCAGCCAGTTTAACCAGCATTCAGAAGGATAAGCTGTAAGACAGTTTCCTTTCCAGTGGGGGGAGAGGGGCGGGGGTGGATCCTAGTTGTGGCCGCAACTCTGGGTTTTGGAGCCTGAGGCCCGTAGCAAACTAAACTCCAGGTCCATTCTGAGAACAACTTGCAAGGCCTACAAACTTCCGCCTCCCCCTTCTGGGCTTGGCAGCCAGTTCTGTAGTGTAGGACTCCTCTCCCAGGGGCTTGTTCCTCTTAGGCAGAACTGTCCTGCAAGAGACTTCAAGGCAGGTGTCCATGCCTGAGTCAAACATCCATGCCATAAACATGAAGTCCCTTGGGGTCTCTCACTTCCTCCCCCAGACAGCTTGCTTTGGAACAGATTCAGGACAAGAGGCATTGTTTTCTGGGTCTAATCTCATTGAAATCCCAGAGGGAGGAGGATCTCAAAAACGGTTTAGCAAGCACAGGAAGGTAATTTAATTGCCTAGTGTCCGTTATGGAGAGTAAGAGGAGCAACGTGTCATTGAAATTGTCTTGGTCACGTGCCATCCCTGTTGTTCGGGGTTTGAGATTGGGTCATTGACGTGTGACCTTTTCCTTCCCTCTCCCCCTCTTGTTTTCCCCTAAAACATAAGTTCCTTGGGTGTAAATGGTCCTGGCGTGGGGATTTTCAGAATCACCTATCGGTTGAGGCAAGAATACAGGACTGGAGCGTTCCGTTGCTTCCTTCAGCAGGCTTGTGTTCAAGTGAAGCCCAGCCTGGGCACGTAGACATTTCACGCCTTGGCCAGTTCCTGCACGAAGCAGGCATGCTGGCATCAGCCACCAGCCAACATGTGACCTTGGACAAATACAGGCAGGAGACAAGAAAGAGTTTTGACCAGAGTGATTCTGTGGCAAGACTCCATGTGGGCAAAGCCTAAATTAGCATGCCTATCTAAATTCTGCAGGGCCTGAATGAATTCTATGTGTGACCAAGAGATTTGCTGATGATAAATGATATGAAATCCTTATTATATTTTCCCTCTCTCCAGATTTTGGGGCTCATTAAGCAGTGTCTCATTAAGCAGTGTCTCACAGGTCAATTGTCTTTGCACATTTGAGAGAAGAACTAAATTTTGCATTACAACTAAAATCTGTGGATCGCTGAGACATCACGTTTGGGTCGATTGATTACTGGGGTCATTTTGAGTCAGCTACATTTCACCGTAAGATACAGAATGGAGAGCACCAACTGTTCATGCTTGGGTGTGTGGAAGCTGAGAGAGGTATGTTTCCATCGAGCATGCCCACTCTTCAGTGCCAGTGAGGTGGATTATCTTGGTTCTATTCTGATTAATCACCGGGATGTTTATGTACAGTTAAAAAGCATGTATAAGATTTTTGTCCTTGTTTAACGAGCTGCAGAATTCTACTGGGGTAGATGAGACTCCATCACAGGTACCTCATGAAACTGCGCGCCAGACCCACGGGGCGTTGACCCTGCGAGTGAGGGGACAGTGCAACTTATAAACTCCCTCATTTTCTCTTTTAGTCTAACAGGCAACCCGCTAAGTTGAACCTTCTCACCTGCCAGGTGAAACCCAATGCCGAGGACAAGAAGTCTTTTGACCTGATATCACGTGAGTCCTCTTCCTCTCCCGGTCGGTTGCTGTGGCTTCTGACCCTGTGCATCTCCATCTCTGGGCGTGGAAGCAGCAGACCTCTTCGTTTACAGTGAGCCCCACCCACAGGGGGAAGGCAGGACAGGGTCAGATCCCACCCGCAGTAGAATCGAATTGAGATGCATACATTAAACTAGACCAATTCTTGACCATGAGCCCACAGCTTTATCCCCTTGGAGAGATTTTTGTACATACATCCCTATTTCTCTCTTAGATCTGCTGAATCACAGTCTTTGCTGTGAAGCCCAGACAAGTATTTTTTAAGAAGCCCCAGGTGATTCTGATGTGTACCTGTGGTTAAGAATCTCTGGCATGGACTTGAGAATGCAGCTGGGCCACGTAAGCATACAGGAGTTATAACCATGCCCTGAGTTTCATCCTTGCAAAACAGGGCCTTAAAACTCATCTTGCTTCATGAAGGGAAGAACTGCATCCCATCACTCTCTTATCCATGGGTCCTCGTGTGCTTTTCTTTTGTGATGAGGACACATAATGACCCTCCCATCCCCCAACCTATGGCCTGTATCCTCATGGTCTTCGGAGAGTGGGGAAAGACTGTTCTCTAGACTGACTTCTGTGCTTACACTGGTCCCAAGGGGGCACTTATGGACCCTGGTAGCTGAAGGGACACCTCTTTATAAAGGATGAGGATGGTAATGCCAATAAAATGACTCACCTATATTCTGAAATCCTGCACGTTAACCTTCAGTATTCGTCCTTCTCTCTAGAGCCCCGTGGGGCTGTCCAACAGCTTAAGTGCATGATCTCTGTGCAGATCATAGAAGTACTCTCCTGCCCCTTGCAGTCCTTCTGATGTAGTTGTGTGAATGGAAGCCCCAAAACAGTTTCAACCCAAAGGACTGAATCTGTCATGAGACCCTTTAGGTGGAGTCCAACCTGGATTACACAGCATCTGTTAAAGTTCAGAGTCCCCATGATTTTTATGACCAAGAAATTTCCTAGGTTATTGATGAGAAAGAAGTACAAAAAGTTGGGAGTTGTGACTCCAAAAAGCTAAAACTCCAAGAAGTGAGAGCCCGTAGGTTATTAATAACTGTCATCACTCATTGAGCAACTAATATGTACTAGGTGCTTTATATACATTATGGCCACTCCTCACAAAAGCCCTATCAGTTTCCTATTTTATGGAAGAGAAAACTGAGGCTCAGAGACATTCAGTGACTTACCCAAGGTCACACAGCAGTAAACCAAGGACTGGATTCAGCCAAGGCTCTTGGGCTCTACTATGCATGGCCTGTTCTTGGACAAACATTCTTTTTCTCTCTCAAGGAGATGAGGGGTGTGAGTACCTGACCTGGAGTAATCATGTAGTGATTGACTGGTTAGTTTGACCTGAATATGTTGAAACATTCTAGCAAATCCTGAATTTTAAGAAAGAGCCTGCCTTATTATGTACAGCTGCTCAAACTCTCCACGTTAGGCTGTTCCCTCCTGACCTGGGGGCAGCTTGAAGGTGAACCTTGAGCATGTTCGAAGTCCTTCCTCCCTGAAGCCTGATTCAGCCAATGAGCAGCCTGGGGCAGCGTATGCCTACTTGGCGGAGCTGCCCTGTGAGCTACGAATCATTTCAGAAAAGTAATTTTTTTTAAAGGTAACACAATAAAAGGCACATTGAAAATGAAAAAATAACATACCGAACTGCCAGCTGGTAGTCTCCAGTTGGTGGAGACATCCACTTTGATCCCATAGGCTCTATCCCCCTTTCCACCTTTTTTTCAAAAGAAATGCCAGATGTTTGGTATTTGCCTATATTTTATTGTACTTCTCTTGCACTTCAGAAAAATAATGTTGACAAAGTGAATTGTATAACTGCTAAATCAAAATGGTATAAAAATAAGATAATATTAAAAATCTAAACTTTTGCTGTGTTGTTTTTTTTTTTTCCCAGAAACTTTCATAATTTACTTTATAGCTGAAGGTATTCTGCTTTCTAAAGTTTCCCTTGTTTTCTTCTTTGTATTTCAGATAACAGGACGTATCACTTTCAGGCAGAAGATGAGCAGGATTATGTAGCGTAAGTTGTTTTTGATGGCACAATGTCTGGAACTAAAAAGGCATTCTCTCCTGTACAACAGACCTTAAAATTTCCTTTTTGTTACTGAGAACCTCTCCTGTGGGTTCCACGTGCTTCTGCCTCACCTCTGGACCTCACATGTTGCTCCCCTCTCTGTCCAGATGCTCGGTAAACCCTGATATCTCCTTCAAGATTCAGCTCAAGCCTCACCATCCAGGGGCTCTGCTCCTTCCTGTCACCCCCGGGCCTCCTCACAGTCCTCGATGATCCTCTAGTTCGGTCTGAGCCCTCTAAAGACTGAGAGCTCTTGAGGGCAAGGACTGTGCCTTACTCACCTTTAATCGCATCCCCTGCACTGAGGAGGGGCTTACCCGGTGTCGAGCCCATCTGCCTGGATGCTTGGCTGTTAACTGCAACGGGAGAGGAGAGCCTGGCCCTGAAGAACAGTATGGGCAGGTGCCTCCTGTGGGTGAGCGTGGCTCAGGAGCTCAGAGTAGCGGGGAGAACTGGCTTTGGTGTCCCACACTCCTGGGTGGGACACGCCTACCTCACCTGACCAGGTATATGACCTTAGATGGCTCCCCACCCCCTTTCTTCATGTTATCCCTGGTCCTGGGCTGTCCTCATTGCCTCTTCCTTCCTGTAGCCTGCCAGGCAGTGTGGGACCATTACATCCTCAGCTGCTTGGGAGGGAGGATGTTAGTGTTAAAGCTGGTAGTTAAACCTTTTTGTAGCATTCGCATTTTCAAACCCCTGTCCCGTCAGTGACACACAATAAATGTTATTTTCCTTCCTTACTGATTTCTGGAGAGCCACCGAATTCCGTTCACCCCCCTTTCACCTTATACTCACCCCTTTTCTCTCTCCCTCTTCTTTCCCCTCTCTCCTCCTCCTCTGGAGAATTCCACTCTTTCCCCTAAAGGGTCAAAAAGAGAATAAGGAATGGGTCGAAAGATGCACAGTTGGGAGACACAAAGCAAAAAGGGTGGGGGGGGTGCTGAGAGAGAAGATAAGAGAGGTGAAGGAAAAGGAGGAGAAAAGTCTTTGACCCATTCATTCATCTGAAGGTTTAGTGAATGCCGATTCCGGGCTGAGAACTGTGCAAAGCATGGAGAATACAAGGCTAAGTTAGACAGAGCCCCTGCTCTGAAGAAACTGGGTCTGTGCTGGAGGAGAAGGCAGGGAGCAGAGGGCAGGGACAGAGAGAGGAGGCAGTGTGCTGTGGGAACCCACGGGGGCACACACCCTCTTGGCTGGTTCTCGGGAGTGGTGCTCAGAGATGACTTCCAAGAGGAAGCAGCCCGAGCCGGCTCAGGAAGGTGCAGGAAGGTTATAAATATTCTGTACTCTGGGTGCCTAGAAGCAGCAGGGAGGAATAAAAGGGAAGCAACTGATGGCTAGATGTTACTGATCTGGGGTTGGCCACCTTGAGAGTGGCTGGAGAAGAAAGAAGAACAGGAGAGGTCAGGAGGGCTGGCCTTCCACCCTCAGACTCAGAGAGGTAGTACTTAGTGAGATCATACGATGCTTAATGCATGTCAGCAGAGGCTGTTATCCCAACGAGGACGCTGAGAGGCAGTGTGCCCATGGTCACAGTCCCGGGAGCCTCAGGGTCTTATGGTCAAGTTAGGGAAGGACATCCTTCAGAGTACAGTGGGTCTCATTGCCCTCAGTATTGGTGCTCGCTGTGAGCCAGCAGGGGCTCACTTACCATCTCTCCAATCATGTCAATCACAAGGTTGGCGTACTTATGCCCATTTTGCAGATGATTAAACAAACTAAGTGAGGTTAAGGGACTTGTTTTGACCTCAACACGAAATCGTAGATATGTGATTGGAACACTGGCCCTGATGCCCACGCAGTTATGCCATTTCCAGTTCATCACACTGATGCCATAAAATATTCAGTTGTGTGATGAGAGTCCATGTGTTGCAGGACAGGAACTCGGAGGGGATGGTTGAAGAGTCCAGACCATTACGTTTGCCTTGACTTGGTTCGTATCACTTGGTTTACTTTTAGAAACTTCAGGCCCTCCTTTGTAAGACACGGGAACAACAGTAGGTGCTTGATTAAGGCCCCTTTTGGAAGGTAGCGCTGAAAGGTGATGCGAGCAGATGAGCATCCCTGGTGGTGATGGGGCTTACTGGGTCCTGCTGGAGAGGGTGCAGCAGGTAGTCATGTGTGTGGGCGCTCCAGACATGTGTCCCGTAAGAATTTCCTGGACTCAGGGCGCCTGGGTGGCTCAGTCAGTTAAGCGTCTGCCCTCGGCTCAGGTCATGATCCTGGGGTCCTGTGATCGAGCCCCGCATCGGGCTCCCTGCTCGGCGGGGAGTCTGCTTCTCACTCTGTCCCTCCCCCTGCTTGTGCTCTCTGTCTCTCTCTGTCTCTCTCTCTGTCAAATAAATAAATATTTTATTTAAAAAAAAAAATTTCCTGGACAGAATTCCAGAATCACCTTGGAATATTGCTTCCCCTTCTCATATTTCACTCTTTCCTCCTCTTTTTCTTTCCTCTCCCCTAAACCCCTGCGTGGGAGAACAGGTACGAGATCTGTGCTGAGGCAGGGAATGCATCCGCTTCTTCTTTGTTCGCATCTCAAACCCAAGCCGTTAGTATTGTATTTACTCTGACTTACAGAGAACTCAGTCCCAGTTTGGTCAAAGAGGTATATAGGTTTCTTGCCCGTGGGACTTAACATCCTTTAGTAGAAGGCTTGCTTGGCCCATCCAGCAGCTGCGACACATCTGCACTTGACTTTCTGTGGGGCTGGTGGTGGCAACGGGGGGCTTTGTTTTGAGTGATGTTGGAAGGAATGCATTCTGCAGAGGAAGCACGGGTGTGCGCACACACCCACACACACCACCCCCCGCCCCAGGGGAGGCTTCAGTTCCTCATTTACTTCCAAGCTACATAGAGACAGTTTTACAGCATCGCTGAGTTTCTTTCTCATGTGAAGGTGTCCAGTGGAATTAAATGTAGAAGACATTCTAACAAAGGGTAGCTGTGTGTTTTGTCAGTAAGAAGGAGGTTACAGACCTTGCCTGCAGGGCTTTGGGACTGAAGATAAAATGTATAAAGTTCCTAGTACAGTGCCAAGGTTGTTAATCCTGTAAACTCAAAGCAACTTTAGAGTCTTAAAATACAACGATGCGTTATTTTCTTTCTTATACTGCTTGGTATGCCTGTTACTTTAAAATAACTTAAAAGTTTATTTTTTGGTTGTCAGAAGTAGGTGCTTTGATTCTTGACCCTTTGAAATGTAGCCAGTCCATTGCACCAAATCTGAATTATCCCTCCAGAAAGTTAATTGTCCTTAAAATATGTATTTTCTAATTATCAGTACCAACTCCTTTATTTATTTATTTGTCCTGATCTCTTGAGTGAGGAGGTGGATGTGGCATAATGAAGGGACCCCAGAAAGGGACCGGGGGAGGGGGTGTCAGCAGCATGTTTCCGTCCAGTGTGACACCCATCCTACTGGAGTCATAAACCTCTCTAGGCTTGTGCTGCCTCATCTGTAAGGACTGTCAGCCCCAACTCAGAGGCTTGCTGGAGGATTACATCCCCAAAATTATAAGGGGGGCACCTGGGCGGCGCAGTCGATTAAGCATCCAACTCTTGATTTCAGCTCAGGTCGTGGTCTCAGGGTTGTGAGATTGAGCCCCCTGTTGGGCTCTGTGCTGGGCGTGGAGCCAGCTTGGGATTCTCTCTCCCTCTCCCTCTGCCCACCCCACACCGCTCATGCACTCGCTCTAAAAAAAAAAAATTATAAGTCCTTGGCATGCAGTAGATCGTGCTATGTTGGATTGCCAGAATATCGTAATGCTTAAGGAAAACAAAGCAGAGACTCTGCAGACAAAGTGAAAACTCCAGTAACACAATGCCACTGATTAAATACACTGTTGAGCCCAGTGTTTTGAATTGTTTTTAAGAAACCATTTCTGGTTTTTAACATGAGACTAAATGATAGAAAAAATATTCTTTAATTTAGAAGGTATTGAATCACACACATACACACACACACACACACCTGCCGCATTCCTAGGTTTTGAGGTGTTCAGTTTTGGGGAGCACGGGAACCGCTGAGCTGTGCACATGTATTTGTTACAACACACGGAAGCTTTGCGCCCCCTACAGTCACAGGTGTGCCTTGCAGTTCACATGCGCCATGTAATTTGGATTTGGTTTGGTTTGTAGTTCTCATTGCTGTGACCCTGACTTACTCTAAACCTTCGCCCTAGCCCTGTGTGTCGTATGTCATCCTGCAATACACCCCAAAAACCGAGACTCCGTTCTGAACCTCTGTGCTCTCTCTTGGGGGCAGTTATTAGCTGTCTGAATAGTAGATGAAAACAAACTATGGTTTGGAAATGTTTTTCATTTTCTTCTTTAAAAAAATTAACTAGGGCTCCTGGGTCAGTCAGTGAGGCGTCTGCCTTCAGCTCAGGTCATGATCCCAGGGTCCTGGGATCGAGCCCCCATCGGGCTCTGCTCCGTGGGGAGCCTGCTTCTCCCTCTGCCTGCCGCCCTTCCCTACTTGTGCTCCCTCTCTCTCTGTCAAATAAATAAATAAAATCTTTTTTTTTTTTAATTAGGTTTTTTTCTCCTTCATGAAAGTAATACAAGCCCATTATAGGTTTGGGAAATTACAGAAAGGCAGAATCAAGCAATCCATCTATCCATTATTCCTACAGAAAATTACTCAGAAAAAGCTAGTGTTAACGTTTTGGTGAATTTCCTCCTAGCCTTTTTTTCCCCAAACAGAAGTACCTAAAACCCTATATATCTTTAAATTTGGGATTATAGCACATAAACAGTTTTTTCTTGTTTATTTCACAAAACATATTGTGAGCATTTCCCTAGTGTCATCCAAAACTTAGTTGAAAACTTTGTCAGCTGTACTTCAATTCTAAAAGCTCAATCTAGAAAAATGAGTTGAAAATTTAAATTTAATACCTGATTAACTGTTCCACTCTGTGGTTATTTCGTGCTTTAATAATGAGCCCTTGTTGTGGATTCAGGTGGTTTTATGCCCAGACGAGTAGCGGACGGTTGTGTTGTTCGGTTCATACTGTGATCATGCTGCATACGAGATTTCGTAGTCTGTACTTTTTATTTCATATTATTAACAGCATGTTTCTGTTAACTATACCTCTGCCACAAGCATCAATTCTCACAGCTGCTCGTGAAACAGCCCTCCGTTTTCGCTTCCAAGCCCCCACCCCCACCCCATACCACAGTGGACTTCCAGAGAACAGATGCCTTGTGCTAAACTGTTTCTTGCCTTCTGTCCATTTGTCACCAGTTCTTTCTCATCCTTGCATTGGGTTGGTCCTGCGCCAAGTCCTCTCCTTTCTGACATTTGCTTTCTTCTGTCCAAATGGACAGGAACGCACCTTGTCACACCTGCAGGCCCTCAGTGGTGTGGACTACCTCTCGTCTGTTCCTCTCCCCTCTCTCGTTTTCTCCAACATGTTGCTTGACATTCTTTTAACTTTCTCTTTCCTCTGAATTTAATTTCTTTCATTTTTTTTCTCACTTTATTGCTGGGGTGGGGGGCGTGTCTCTTTTGGAAGTTCTTGACGAAAACAGATTTTTTGCAGTGGCAGGAGAAATCAGTGGCCTTGCACTTACGTCTCCTTCCTCTTGTTTTCGACAACAGATGGATATCAGTATTGACAAATAGCAAAGAAGAGGCCCTCACTATGGCCTTCCGTGGAGAGCAGAGCACAGGGGAGAACAGTCTGGAAGACCTGACAAAAGCCATCATTGAGGACGTCCAGCGGCTCCCTGGGAATGACGTCTGTTGCGATTGTGGCTCGTCAGGTATTTGCCCCCAAACTTGATCTGGCTTCTTAAACAGCCTTTCTCCTCCCATAGAATAAACATGAGCTAGTTATTTAAATCCTTACCTCCTTAGGGACACAGACACACACCCACCACAAACTTCCATCTTGAACGGTCCCACTTCTGGGCTGCTTTAACACATGCTGTTTGTTCAGCCTGGAAAACTCCCACCTGCTCTCCTCAAATGCCCCAAATGGCCACCTGCCCAAATGCTACCAGTTAAATGAGCACTGTGGACATACAGAGAGAGCCCTGGATGCAGAGCCCCTCATGCTGGTTTTGAACCACCAGCCTGGCACTCACAGCCTGGATGACCTCCTGCCAAGTGCCGACACTAGTCTCATCTTCAGGGATAATAAACCTCGGTTGTTATGAGGACTTAATGAAATGCTATATCTGAAATCGTCCCAACGTGTTATACATTACTTTCCTTCCTTTCTGCTCGGTGAACTAGCCCCAGTGTCTACGTCACATGGTCACCTTCCCCCAAACTTCTGATTTCAAGTAGCATCTGTATTAAGTAGGTATTGACAGTAGGTAATGTGCATTCAGTGTTTACATTTTAATAAGGATTCTGGTAGTTGTTTTAGTTTCTGTTCTCTTATTGAATCCTCACAGATGCTCTGTGAGCAAGATACTAATAGCCTCACCATTTTACAGATGAGAAAACTAGGGGACTCTGAGAAGTTAAGTGACCTCCCAAGGTCACACATCTAGTAGGGATCAGAACACCGATGCAAACCTGTGATTGTTAAGCATCATAATACACCTTCTAATTGTTTTCCTTGTGAAAATGGACTTCTCCATACACCATGCCTTGAGCACCTCAGAGACACGTCTCCTAGTTTCTGCTGTGTTCGTGTCCCTGTGGGATAAGTGACTCACACCCTCACATAGTGAGGATGTGGCAGAGGGGTCGGAAGTCCTCAGGTACCGACCACTCCAAAAGAAGCTTGCCACAGGGAGTGAACCCTGAAGGTTTTGGTAACATGGGAATACTCATTCCCTCTGTTGTGGAGCCCTTGGGGGGTTGTAGAAATAGCTTAGGTCTGTGAAAGAAGCCTTTGACGTTCAGTATTTACAGCTGTCTTATTACCAGGAGGTGCTTGTGGAAAAGCCGTGACCAGGATGGTGGGTCAGTGCAGGTTGTAACTGGGAGGTTAATGACAGCTTATGAACCGAGTCCCCTGAGCCACACGTCAGTCACTGCCAAGGATGACATCTCTCCCAAGGATGTTTCATTGGGCCTCCCAGGAAAAGTCATTCTCACATTTTCACAAGAATAAAGCACTTAATTTTGTTTTCAATTCAATATTGAAAGAAAACTTTTAAATTTCTTTTAGCACCCACATCATCCTCTGAGAAGCTGGTAAGCTTCGTATGAGCCCTTAGGCTAAACCACAAGCTTCCATGTCTTCCATTTAAATCTTTCCCTTTTAATTCTTAACAAGTTTTACTACTCTTGTTTTAGCTTCCTTTGTAGTTGGCACACGAAAATTAGGTCGTGTTTGTTTCATTGTCTTCAAAATGTTCTTTCCACACAGAACCCACCTGGCTTTCAACCAACTTGGGTATTTTGACCTGTATAGAATGTTCCGGCATTCATAGGGAAATGGGGGTTCACATTTCTCGCATTCAGTCTTTGGAACTAGACAAATTAGGAACTTCTGAACTCTTGGTGAGTAGTGACCTGTACTTAGAAATGTATATTGTCATAAATATATGTAATACGTGGCTTTGGAGTGTCCTGTTTCTGCTGAGTACAAAGAATTGCAGTTCTTGAATTTCGTGAATTTGCATGGATATTTAAAATGTAAATTTTGTGGTATATAAAGTTGACTGTCTCTATTTCCTTTCTAAAGAACTGGTGAATCATACATTTCTATAATTAGTTCACCTACACTGGCTCTTTTCTTCTGGGATGGGCTTTTTCAAAGCTGTCTTTTCCTTTCAGAATTAGTTTTTATATGATTCACTCATTACACTAAAGGGAATTAGGTGTTAAACTCACATGATCACTTTACTTAATGGTCTGTGTTACTAAAAATAGTGACTAAAGAGTCTGTCTCTGTTTTTCCCATTTGTAAGTTTGTAGAAGCCCCCATGAACCGAGAGTGTCCATAAAGCCCATCAGTCCTTAACCCGTAACTTCTTCTAAGCAACGATGGTCTGTGTTTGTATGAGCCCCTGATCTAGGAGGTAGCAAATTCAGGAAGTATCATACTAATGCTTACCTCCCTGATTCATACCAGGATTAGAGGAAAAAAAAGGCTCTGATCTTATACCTAACACATTCTTCTTGAGTGTGGAAGTGGTGTCACTCCATCTCCTTGACTTAAGCTAGTGAAACCCAGTTGGCAACTAGAAATAGGGACAGTCCAAATCCTAAACACTTGCTAGGTAATAAACCCAAGATTTTACCCCAGAGACCTGATAGCATGAATGCTTCTTAAGCCTTGCATTGCTCCCCAGATCATCTGAACGACCAGAGGCCCTTCAGGACAAATTTTCCTGGGAGGGTCTTGAACCCAGAAGCAGAATGCTTCCTGCAGCATTTTTACATGTATCCCAAATATAAAGGAATCCCACCTCCTTCTCTGTCCAGTAAATCTGCTCAGTCTAAAAACGAGGTATGATAGAGATTGAAAAACAGGTGCTGCCATTAAGCATTTAACCTGGGTTCATGTGTGTAACCTTAACCTGCTGTCTAATCTCAAGAGTATATGTTGGTTGGGGGAGGGCATATCCTCTTCTATTCTAGCATTTATCACATTGTATTTGTAAAAATCATTGGTTTTCTTATCAATCGCCCTGCTAGTCTGTTGGCTCCTACAGGAAGGAATGTGGTTTACCCCTCTGTTTATATCCAGCACCCTAAAGTTCCGTGCCTGGCACATAGTAGGTGCTCAGTAAATATTTGTTGACCGGATGGATGGATGGTTTGTATCCTGAGTCAAATGAGGGGAAGATACGTATTCAGAAATCTCAAAAGCAAATAATAGGAAACCTTTAAACTCATAGTAAAGAGTGGCTGTATTGTGTTTTGTTTATGTTACAGCTGGCCAAGAATGTAGGAAACAATAGTTTTAATGATATTATGGAAGCAAATTTACCCAGCCCCTCGACAAAACCCACCCCTTCAAGTGATATGTAAGTACTTATACTGAATTCTTTATCATTCTATAATTGTTTTTCTGCCCTCACAAGCAATGTCTTAATGGTTATAGTATTTTTCCCCCAGAGGAGACCCCAGTAGGAGGAAAACCCAGAGCAAAGAAAAGTATTTTGGGATGCATTTCTGGAGTGCACAAATTATGTTCACTGACCCGGTCCCCTAGGTAGTTGCGGCTGCTCCGTGGAGGGTACGTCTTCATAAGGGTGGTTAGCTCTAAATCATGGCATGTTGTGATAAGCAGGACACAGACAAAAGTGATGGCCCGCTCCAATTGGATGGGCAAAAGTCCAAACGCTTACCAGTGAGGCTGTGGGGAAACGCTGTGTCTCAGGCGTTGCTGGGGGGCATGCCAATGGTGCCTTGCCGGGGAGGAGCAGAGTAGCAATATCTATCACAGTCCTTGATGTAGTTCTTTCTGACTTTGCTGAGCCACTTTCGGAAATTGACTCCTGATCTGTAAAAGGAAAAGATGAGGAACAAAACAAACGTCTGTAGGCCTCTGATTAAATAGTTTATGGGGTACGGCCACACAGCAGAATGCTACACAGATGTAAAAAGAAGAAGGAAGCTGCTTACATCCCGACTTGGGACAATCTCCATTAGGAATTACCACTAGGTAAAAAAGCGAGGTATGGAGCACTGCACCGAATCTCCTACCTTCAGGTTAGGGGAAGGGTGGTCAAGAACACATAAATGTATATATTTGTGTTTGCGTGAAGAAACACGGGCAGATACACAGGAATCTAGAAAAGTGCTTACTCTGGGGTGGTTGCGGGCATGAGACCTCCTCAGTAAACAGTTTCCGGTATCATTTTTATTTTGGAGTCATGTGAATCCTTAAACCTATCAAAAATTTTTTCACACTGAATTTACACTTAAAATTTTTAAGTACTGTGCATGAATAGGATGGCAGCTCCTATTAATTCCAGCTTGACTGAGCAGGGGGGCCTCTGGGACACAGACGCCCACCTGAATGTCCGCCAAGCCCTTCTTGGTGGTTCCTCAGGCACCAGATCTGCTGAGCACTGAAACTGTTACAGGGCACATTCAACAAACGTGGTGTTTTTACTCTGAAATCATGAGATACCATCTCCCAGCAGGCCTCTTGGCAGTGGTCTTTCTTGAATTCAGCAAATGTGTGCTGTCTGCTCACTGCATGCTTCATGGTAGATCAGGTGCTGGGGAAAGGGCAAAACATGAACTAGATGTAAACCCTGTCCTCATGATACCTGCCGTTTGGAGAGGAAGGTGGCTGTTAACCAAGAGGTTAGACAGTCCGTTCCTTATTCATAGCTGTGAAAGGGTCACCGAAGAAAAGTCAGGGAGGTTGGGCGCATATTTAATATTCTAACCCTAATCCTGGGGCATCGGGCTTAACAACAGTGTTCAAGCTCCGTCTGAGCACAGAAACAGCTTGGATTCTTTTCACACTCATGGGCACAAATTACACTGAGAAGTAAGGCTTTTTAGAAGTGACTTTGATCACAAAACAGCCACACACAAACACGATCTGAAGTTATGCCACAGACTAGGTAGCAGTAAGTGCTCAGATACGCAGTGCAGTCTTGCCCCCACCAGCAGTTTTAAATATTTATGTGGCCCACATCTCGGAGGCATCACTTTAGGATAAACTTCATGACAGTATGGATTTCTATTTCCAGTTGCTCACATGGGAGATGGCCCACTCTTGCCCATCTGCTCTCTGACCTCGGATGGTCGTCTGGCCTCTGTCAGATCTTCCCTTCAAAATGCTTGTGATTCTCCAGAATCTCTAACGGAGTGATTAAGGTTCCAGACTACTGGAGCTTAGATCCTGGCTCTGCCAATTCTGAACTGTGATCTGGGGCAAGTGACCCCACCTGTCTGTGCCAACCTCCTAGGGTAGGGTGAAGACAGAAGGGGTTAAGTAAAAGGAGCTTCGAGCGGCACCCAACCTACAGTGAGCACCACGAAAGGATTCACCATTACTGTCCCCACCACCACGACCGCAGTCTTCATCACCATCCTCTTATTTGGCCAGGAGCCTTGAGGGACAAAGCAGGTTCCCTGTGACACGCAGTTCACTCACCCACTCTTATTAAGCAGCTTCTATGTTCCTGGCACTCATTAAGTGCTGATGACGCAGTAGGGAACAGTGTAGCTCCTGTCCTACGTTCTGACTGTGCAGAGGAAGACACGGAGAATGGTAGTGGGTTCTCTGAAGAAAATCTAACAGGATAAGGGGGTGAAGCGTAGAAGGCATTGTCCTCAGGTTGGTCAGGGAGTATCTCTGAGGACTTGACATATGATGAAGCTCTAAAGGATGCGAAGGACACGCGTGGGGTAGAGGGTGTGGGGAGGGGGACTGGCAGGGGGAATGGTGGTTGTAGATGCCCAGAGGCAGGGGCAGGCTGGGCACGTGCACACAGTAACAAGAAGGCAGGTATAGCTGCAGAGGACTGAGCTCGGACAGTGGTAGCAGAGGCCGGGCAAAATGGAGATGGGACCAGGGACCAGTTCAGCGAGAGCCTTAGAGGTCATGGAATGTTTGGGGATTTTATTCTCTGTGTGAGTAGAAGGCTTTAAACAGAGGGAGTGACCAGAATGCTGCTAACCACCCTGCAATGTGTAGGACGGTGACCGTGACAAAGAATCATCCAGCCACAGTGTCACAAGGGCCGAGGTTAAGGAAGCCAGCTGTGGCTCGTAGGTGAAGGACAGATGGGAGGAGTGGGTGGAAACAGAGACCGAGGAGAAACTTACACCGGGTCCACTGAGAAACAGAGATGGTGTGGACTAAGATGGTAGGAGTGAAGGTGCTGGAAAGTAGTTGAATTCTCAGGATGTTTTGAAGGGAGAGCCAACAGGATTTGCTAATCACTTCAAACACAGGACATTTAACTAAATTGTCAAGATCATGCCCAAGGTTTGGGCCTGAGCGTCTAGGTAAATAGGCAGTACCATTACCTGCACCGGGGTGAGTGGGAAGGACCAGGTTTGGCGGGGATACAGGGCGAGCCATTGGTAGAGCTCTGGTGTCAACTTTCAGACAAGTCTGTTTCCCACCCTCCCTGTCGCCCCGTGTCAGGAAGCCTTTACTGCCAGGGACTGCGGCTGAGTGCCCAGAAAGAGTGAAACATCATGCCTGCGGAGAGCTCAGGAACGTCCTACAGCCACGGAAGTAGAGACCCAAGGTTGGAGGTGCTCTCCAAAGTGGCCTGGGGCATCTCCCCATGTGATAGCTGAGTGCCCTCAGCAGCGTTTCTGCAATTATCATGCAGCATCTGCACACTCCAGTGCCAGGAAGCCTCCATGGAGACCGTCGTCTCAGATTTACCTCCCGTAGCTTCCCACCGTTGATCCTTGCTCTGCCATCTTGGATGATACTAGAAAGGAAGCTTATGTATGAACCCATAGCCGTGTGTCATTCTTTGTTCCATACCTACTCTTGCTTCCCTGAAAGGCAGTAAGACTGGTATGATTACTAGTATTTTACAGATGAGGAAATAGGCATAGCTTTACCCAGGGTCACATGGATAGCATTTGATACCGGAATTGAATCAAGCCATTTCATTTTTAAATCTGATATTCCATCCATCACACAGTAGCTGCCTTTCAAACTTTATAAAGTCACATGCAGTGGGAGACCAGAAGCCAGGCTTAGGCCAATTTCTCAGGTTTCTGGAAGCCCTCCAGCTCATCAGGCCATGGCCATCTTAAAAGGACTTTGACCTAAGTGTAAAGGACACCCATGAAAGTAAGATCTTGGTCACTGAGCAGAATCTGCAAGTCACCAAAGGCAGTGTGCTACCATCAACCAGCTTCCCCCCTTCACTGCTGACCCAGAATGAAAGGAAGTGACATCAGCTCGGTTTTAAACAGTGAGGCCTGGCTGTGGGATTGGGGGCGGGTGGTGGACAGCAGCAGCCTGCACAGATGGAAGAGCTTTTTCTGAGCGAGAAATCTTATGTCCTATGAGTTAGAGCTTTCTCAGAAAGAAAGCACCTTGTAGGTGCTATACATTCTTTAATTCAAAATACACCGATGAGTTATTCTCCCCATTTTCAGAGGAAAAAGCTAAAGCTCATGAAAATGAAGTAGTTTGCCCAAGGCCCTGCAGCTGATGTGCTGTAAGAACTAGGATTTGAACCAATCCATTTACTCCTTTTTTATTAAGTGGCTTATGTAACTGGGAAAATCATGGGATAAGTTCAGGTATGGCTGGCTCCAGGATGTCCGACAGTATCATCTGGACCCTAGCTCACTCACCCAACTCTTCTTTCCTTTCCTCTGAGCGGACTTCTGTCTCAGCCTTTTGCCAAAGATGGCGAAAGTAACCATCAGGCCACTTAGGTCAGATACTCACACCTGCAGCTGGGAGGTGGGCTCAGTCCCGGAGCTTGGGACAGAACTGGAAGTGGAGAAAGGGTGAGTCCTCAAGAAGAGAAATGCACACACCCACTCAGACTGTGGGAGTATTACCCATGACAGTCTCCTGCTCCCAACTGAACCTGCAGGAAAGACAACTCCCCTTTATTCTGGAGCCCAGTGCTTGGCCTGTGGGAGCGACACAGCCTTTGTGAGCCTCAGATCCCTTACCTGTTAAAATAGGGAGTTGTGCCAGATGACTAAAATTTTTTCAATGAAGCTCTGGAAACTTCATTGGTCTTTTAGAATTGTTCTTTTAAAATTTCTTAATTTCTTTGTATATTTACGAGTATCTGAATTTGAAGTAGTACATAGCAGATTTCTCAAGTTATTGCTCAAGGTGGAAAAAAAATCTGCTGTGGTCTGTGTGCCCCTTAATTTTGTAACCATGTACTGCTTGCACACATACACTAGTGAATATGTATCAGTTTCTTCGTCCTGTCTGTGATGAGATAACTTGGTCTAAAACCTGGTTTGTTTAGGGCGCCTGGGTGGCTCAGTCGGTTAAGCGGCTGCCTTCGGCTCAGGTCATGATCCTGGAGTCCCGGGATCGAGTCCCGCATCGGGCTC